CACATTGAAGGCATCAATCCGTACGTTGGGTAAATCACATGAATGGCTTCCCCAGCAGGTGCCAAGCCTTGCATTGTGACTGTAGTGGTGCATCAAAAGATGTCCATCGTCAAGGTCTTCTTTGCTTGATAGACAAATATTGCTAAGATAAAACCTTACCCAGAAAGACAACAATAGGTCTGTGGTGCTCGATATGATGTCATTAATAGGTGTAGTCTTTCAAAGACCAGAAATTAATTGTGTAACTAATTGAAAGCATAATTGCTTTGGTACATGTGTGTAGGCATCCTTCAGTCTCGAGAGACTATGGTAATGTGCTCTCTATGGAGGTACAAATGACTGCAGAATTTGTCCTGGTTATCCCGGGGCAGCCTTGAATAAGGCTGCAGAGTTAACACATTATGGTCTTCCATCCATCGCCTGCTGAAAGTTCTTCTGAAACCTTTCACCAAAAAAGTGCTCTAATTCAATAAGACAGTGTCGGGAAAGCTCTGTACTTTCAGGTGTTTTGGATTTCAGCACCCATAAACCAAAGCGAACACAGCCAATGGCAGGAGGACATGGGAGTTGTAGTCTAAAATTTCTGGAGAGCCAAAGATTCATCACCCCTGCCTCAAGCAATTCATGGGCCAAAGGAGGGGACCTTACTGCTCAAGTCACGAGGCACCTCAGACCCGTGTTGTAGGAGGATGCTGTATTCCACTCTCAATGTGAAATTTAATTAGAAAAAAAAAATAACACTGTGCTTTCAATAACAACGAATCTTGTGGCACACTTAACACAAACAGATATGTTTTAGCACCCACTTTCACAGATGACAGTCTGTTTCTTCAGACAAAGAGACAAGGCACCAAGGAAGTAGACGGTCATCCCTGAAAGTTCACACTAAAATAGATGTCCTTGTCTTAAAGTTGCCACAAAACTCTTTGCCATTGAGGTGGAACAGCCAAAAACGACTGCTTTGAAAATTACTGCTGTATTTGTATACATCTGTAGCGTTTGCATGGCATACTCTTGATTATATTCTCTTTGATTTACAGCTTACTCTTAATCTTTGTACATACACATCTGTATCAACAGAAGGCTTTTGCATGCATCATCCCCAGGGTGCGTTCTGGGAATCAATATAAACAAAGCACGTCAGCCAAGCTTGGAAAAACTGCTTTAAAACTGAGGCAGAAATTAGCCAGGAAAAGCAAAGTGAGCTATAGAGGTGCTTCACTGCAGCATTTCTGACTGTGGTTTCTCAGAGGTTGGACTACAAATTCCAGAATCCTTGACCATTGGCCTTATTGGCAGAAGCTTCTGAACACTGACGTTGGATCACATCCATGAACCCAAGTTTGCTTTTCTGTAATCCTTTTCTTTTCCTTTCATCAATGGTGGAAAGCAGGGGTAAAGTGCAGTAGAAATTATTCAGAGGTAAATAATGGCAATAACGCCAACAAGGAAGTGTAAGGGGAACTGAAAGTCTACTCATTTAGCTTTTTCCTTCTTTCTTTGAATGATTGCAACCTGCCACCTCTTGGCTGGATGTAAAAGAACACCAAAGCGAGAGAGAAAGAAAAAGAGAGAAATCTATGCATATGTCTTTACTGCTGTTTATCTGTGGGCTGAATATGCCTCTTTCTCTCTTCCCTTCAATCTAGAAATCCTGCCTTCAGCACTTCAAATGTCTGGAATCTCATTAACATTTCCTGCACACTTTCAAATCTGCTTTCTTTGCCTGCAGGGCATGACATAGTTCGAAACAGAAAACATTAAGGGGGGGGGGCAGGGCAATAATGTTGCCCTACTTGGTGACATTGTAAAATGCTAGCACATAAAAACATAATCCACTGACATAGCCTTTTCAAAAAAATCCTAAGGAGATTTTGACACCTTATCTGACACCAGTACCTCACTTCTTTCTCCCCTCTCCTGCTGGCTGGATACGTTGGTGAATTAGGTATCTGACTGTGAAGTCAGTGGCTGGGAGTTCAATTTCGCCCTCCCCAACCAAGAAGAACCAACCTGTGGTGCCTTGGGCCATAAAGAACCAGCCTGTGTGGCCTTGGGGACATCTGTCCCAGGATGTCCCCAGAAGGGAGTGGTGAACCATTTCTGAGTATTGTGTGCCTAGAAAACCCTGGAAAGGGTTGATCTAAGTCAGAATTGACTTGACAGAGCATGATGATTTCAGCTCTCCAAACCAAGGATGGATCGCTCACCATTTGGGAGTCCGAAACCTGACCACTACGAATCACACTGTGACCAAGCAAGAGACGTTGCTGTGCCTTCTTTCTCCTCTTTACACAAGCCTATTGCCTCCATCAATGGCAGAGTGATGAGCTCTCCAGATGTTTTCAGATCGCAACTCTTAGCTCTTGTCTGGCTACATTTGAAGGGAGAAGGAGTGGAAAAACTTCCAGAGGGCCACGGTGATCCACCCTAACAGTGCTGAATTTGGCATGTACAGAGAGGATGGAACTCTTGAAAACACACATGGGAACTGGAACTAGCCACCTAAGCATGGCACATTTTAAGACTGTTCTTCCTAGTGGGCACCAAAGAGGCACCCGATGCCCAAATGAGACCTCTCTCTATGGTGTATTTATGAGCACTGGATCTTCAAGAGACCCCTCCCAAAACTGTTGAATTCCTTCAGGTAGTGTGATTTCCTCTACTTTTTTTCCCTATCTGAAAGTTTAGCTCTTGTCACGTTTGGTTTCACATAGCAAGAGCACAGCTGGCTGAATAGCTCAGGGGTTTAGGTCTCTGGCTGCAGAGGCAGAGGTTGGGGGTTCAATTCCCCACTTGTTCCTCTTGGGAGTAGAGCCAGCCTGGGCTGCTTTGGGCAAGCTGCACACAGTCCCAGAGCTCCCCCTAGAGGACGGGAAGGGCAAACCACTTCCCACTAAATCAGAAGTGACTTGATGGCACAGGATGATGGTGATGATGATGGTTAGCAAGAGTGATGTGGCCCCGGGGAACAATGACCCAGTTTTTCATCACTGCCTTAATGTCTTGCATTACCCAAGCCCACCCTTGATTATTGCTTCCTTTAAAAAAAGAAAAGAAACAAGCAGAAGTATCTGGCAAACAAATCATATAATTTTTTATTCCTTGAGCTCCAGTGTTTTAACTGTAGCAGCACTTCAGAAATGTAATCTTCTGTCCCATTAAATATACTTCTGTGCCTATACATTCTTTTTCAAATGTCAACATTGGTAAAATTCATAAAAAGATCGTCTTAAAACAGCAAATATCAACTGGAATATTCACACTTCTTTTTTAAAAAATATGTGCGTTTGTAGCTTACAAAGCACCAATGTCTGCGTGTGTGCTTCCAGGCGTACAAAGTTTTGTTTTGCTTTTTAAAGACCTTTAAACAGAACATTAGAGCTGCTGCTTTCTTATTTCTAGAACAAGACACAACGCGACAGCAGAGAATGTGCTTCTGGCTGCCATCGGAGACTTCTTACACCTTCGTGTATACTCAGCAAGGGTGTGCACAAGTGTCTCTACACACACACACACACACACACAGAGAGAGAGAGAGAGAGAGAGAGAGAGAGAGAGAGCTGCTGTACACACAGGAAAACTGACTCAAAACTGAAAATGACCCCACTCTTCTTGTTTCAAAGGGGGGGGGAAGCCTTCTTGGACGTAAATCAGGCCAAAGAGGACCTGACAATAGCCCAAATGGCCACTCCACTCCGGCAGCGTGAACAACCACTTTATACAGTATCCCCAAATGCTTTAGGAGGTTGGGGATACAGAAATGGCAGGGATAGTACTCTGAGATCCCAAGAAGCTTTAGTGCTGGTGGTGTGCCTGGCCGGCCCATCCAAGGGAAAATCTAGGCTCACGCCTTGCAAACAGCAGCCCCTCTATAAATACACACCCCTCATGCAGCGTGGTGGACCGAGAGTTGGACTAGGGCTCAGAAGATCGGGGTTCAAATCCCTGCTCGGCCACAGAAGCTCAACTGTGGGGTGGCCTTGTCACACGCTCCTTGAACAGCTCACAGACCTCAGAAACCCTACCGGGGTCAGCATCACTTGGATGCCACTTGACCGCGCATAGCGCGCACACTAGCATGATGGTTTTGTAACTGGTGCTTTTAAACATAATCTGTAAATAAGGCACAAGGGAGAGATGGGGGTGCAAAGTCAAAGAGGAACTATCCCCCGCCCCATGGCAGTTGTGGAAACAGTCGCTCCTTAGACAACATTGCCTCCTACAAGGGGTGCAAAGTACAAGGCGTGTTATTCCCCACCCCATGGCAGTTGTGGCTTTCTGAGATGTAAAAGGGTGTACCTGAAGCTCTTGGACATCTGAAGATGCTCATCTTCCATCTGACTGCAGGCAAACATGTCAAAAGTGTCTTGAGCCGTACCTTCAGTTTCATGAAAAATCATTCACTGAGAAGCACGACCCATTACAATTCAAGCCTGCCTCCAGTTCCCACATCTGTCCGCTACAAAAGCCAGCAACTAACACACCTAGGATCCAAATGTCCTTCAGGGCGATTCAATCAAGAGGCATCTTATGAATTCAAGTGCACGCCTCTCATTAACCTGATCATCAGAATCCTCTTTTTTCTCTTTCTTTTTGCTAGGGCACAGGTGGAGAACCTCCACCGGTGGCTGAACGACAACACCCATCATCCTGCACCACTGAAGGGATTTCCAGTTCAACAACATTTAGACCCCACCCCACCCCTGGGTTAACACACAGTGGGCAATGAATGGCGTAGCTTTTCAAAAGAAAACAAGCTTTTACAGCAACACAGTCCCTTCTTAAATCTCTTGTTTGTAAATTTATCAAGTGCATGTGTCTAAACAGAGACTTTTGAGGAGGCAGCCTTTTTTAAAAAAAAAAAATCCTGATATCTTGTTAGCTGGCTAGATCGTTCAAGTGGTTTAGGTCTCCAGTTGCGGAGTGACAGGTTGGGAGTTCGATTACCCCGCTGTGTCTCCTGGGAGAAGAGCCAGCCTGTGTACCCTTGGGCAAGCGGCACAGTCCCAGGGCGCCCCCAGTGGAAGGGAATGGAAAACCACTTCTGAGTATCCTCTACCTGCAAAACCCTGAAAGAGGATTGCCATTAAACTCTTTTCAGTTTTCCAGAAGAGAGTGTAGAGCAAAAGAAAAAGAATGAAAGGAGCAAATGGAGAGAGTCCATCTAGTTGAAAACTGAAGTTCGCAAACTGCAGAATTTAGAATCAAAGTTAAGAATCGTAGACCCTGTAGATATGAAGAATCATGGACCCTCTAGGTAATGGGTTGTAAGTCCCATTGTCTATAGGCTGCACGGCCATCATTGAAGGAGTTACGGGTGTTGTTGTCCAAAACAGGTGGAAGGCGAAAGGTTTTCCACTCTCTCTCCTCTGGGTGGACAAGGGGCACCTGTGGGCACTACAGATGCTGTAAGACTTCAGAGATACACACGTCTCTGTCACAAGTGCTGAAACTACTCCACACACAACTTCATTTGCACAGGCCAGTTAACGTAGAGAATGCACACACATACATGGGAGGGGGTTGACTTCAGAGGGAAGTCTGACTTTACATTCTCCTTTGCTAAGGCTCTTCGGCTCCACATTTTTAGTGCGGCCTCACAACAAACAGCTGCCTTCCCCTGTCAGTCTTTCTTCTTAGGATAAGCAGCACAAAAAAGGGTGGTCTTACAGGAATGTAAACTTGATGTCCTGCCCCCACCGGCAGGTGTGAATTTACACATGCTCTAGTGCAACAGATGGAGGCCCACCTACGAACCAGGCAAAAGCGGACGCAAGCAAGGGAAAAAGCAGGGTTGGGACTTTGAATGTACATCTGCCCTGTAGAACTGGGGCGGTTCAGTTCTGCCCCCACGGCTTTGGCTCCATCCTATGAAATGCTGGGATATGTAGTTTGGTAAGGGACTTAAGAAGTGCTCTGCTGTGGTTCAGGGAAATCATTCAGATGTATGCTTTGGCCAGAGTCCTGCCCAAGGCTCCTTTGTGCCTGGAGTGAGGCTTTTGAGAGTTTGTGCAACCCCAATGTACACCTCCTGGTAAGCTTCCCAGAAGGCAATCTCTGTCGGCCACAAATGCAAGCCAGAGACCGCAGGACCCTCTGTGATTTAAGCCTCACACTCCCATCTGCAGCGAAAATACTGGTGAAGCTGAGAAGCAGGAATAAATTAAAAGCCACAAAACCCACACAAGAACTGAGATGCAATTTCTCTCCGCATTTCAAAGTACCTTTAGCAGTTTGGAGTCTTTGCTAAAAAAATGGGCTCAACACACTTAAGCCATCTGTGAAGAGTCAAAACTGTTATTAGCAGAAGCGGCCACCACTCCCAATGTAAGAAAAAGGGGGAAATACATGGCAAGGGAGATTTTCCAACTGCCCAATGTCTTAAATCATTTCAAGTTGTCTTCACATTGGATAATCTACGGGCTGCTAAGCCTGGTAGGGAGAGTACCACTCCCATCAGAGATACTGGGCAAGAAGGTTCGCAATGCAAGGGAGATGGTGTATCTCACAACTCTAAAAAAGATTTCAGCCCTTTTAAAACTCACATACACACACACACACATTCAGTTTTAACTCTGCTAAAAAAAAAATCCACCCAAATCACCCATATAGAAAAATAAAGGATAAACATTATCCATCTAGTTATGTCACATAATTTCTGAATATAAAACTTTGTTCAACTCAAAGGCTTCCTCTTTATGGTTGTAAGGAGATAACAAGAAGCCCAGTCCACAAGAATTCCATCTTTTTCTTACCTTTCCCTAACACACTTTCAGGGAGGAAATAAGCACAACCATCTACAAAAATTATTATTGTGGTTCTCGACTCCACAGGGAAGAAATTGGTTTTATGGATGATTCTTTAAATAATTTTGGTTTAGGAAAAAAAAAAGCAGGAGGAGGAGGGAAGGCTGAGAATGACATTTCTCGAGCATCCAACATACACATCCACCCACACTGGAATCCAGCTGTGGAGCTCTCAGAACCTTTTAGAGGCAATGAAAGGACCCTGGGCGTGGAGACACTCATGTCTAAAAAAAAGGGGGGGATCCATCAGCTCGGACTTCTTTTCTCCAGCTCGCGCTTCGTCAGCAAATATTTGAAAAATTCGTAGACAGACCAAGCAATGGCCGTTGAAGGCATCTGGTAGAGCATCCGTGCTTGGACTCCTTTAAAATAACCAGCGACACCCCCCAGTTGATACACTGTCCTGAAGGCGTTGGCCATCCCCGAGAGGTGGCCGCTGACGTTCACAGAAGTCAAGACCATGTTCTCTTGAGTGTTGAGAAGAGTCTTGCAGACATCCAACGGAGTCGTAGCGGCCGCGGCCACAGCTCCTGCCACAGCGCCTGACATCACATGCGTGCCAGGGCTGTACTGCCGGTGGGGGTTCCACCACTCCTGCATGAACTCATAGGTGATGAAGTGAATGGCTTGGAAGGGGATGTTCATGGTGAGTTGAGTGGTATAGCTACGGTAGAAAGCTCCCAAGCCTTCAGTCCGGTACACCGTCCGCATGCACTCCAAGACACTCTTGTATGGGGAGTTGTACATCTGCATGCGCTGCTTCACCACTGGCTCCAGACCAGAAGGAGACACGATGGTCACGGAGGTTGGACATGCCCAAGGCAGGAATGCAGGCGGAACAGAGGAACAGAACAACAGCAACAAAAAAATAAATTAGATCCAAATCACAGGGTTTGACTTAGTACCCCAATCCTACAACTGAAGGTAAGAATACTTCGGTAGACTGTGTTTGGCAAAAGACACTCAGAGCAATTTATGATATGCCTGCTCTCTTGGGAAAGGACATTATTCTTCTTAAGAACATGGCAAACTGCACTGCTCCCTTTCATAGGGCTGAAACAAAAGTTTGGAAAAAGTTAAGGTTTTTCTGGACTACAGTGCTCAACTAATGGCCATGCTAGCTGAGGTAAGTAGGAGAGTTAAAGTTCAAAAAGACTAGTTTATCCAAATTCGGGTTGAAACCCAATTAAAGAAATTGTAGTCACACATTCTTGTTAGTACGAGCCAGTGCAATGGATCAATTAGTTAAATCTTTATACAGATCAATATTATTCTTCTTTATTATTAAATGCTAATAGCATTTTGGAAACAAAACAAAAACCACACACACAATTTAAGATGATGCAAAGTAGGCATCTTAGAAAAACTGTTCCTGCTGCCTGTAGGAGAATAGAGAATAAAAATGAGGCTTATTAGTTTTCTCTTTTCACCAGCAGTTGCTGTTAAAGTTTGCTCCTGGGTAGTTTTTCAGTCATTTTACTCATTAATGTAATGGAGTAATTCTGTTACCAGCTAATCTAACAGATCCATGTTGTAGCTCTACTGATTTAGCTTTACAAGCACTGCACAAAGCTATTTAATGGGGTTGATAGCATCCATCACAAGCAATATGAGGATAATGACACCAGACTCCCAAGCCCTGCAAAAACTGTCACTTTTGGGGGGAAGAGCATGACATGCAGATATTGTAAATGTCCACATAGTTTTACCACCCTTTCCTCTTTGCAAACTAACTGGATCTTTCACACTTAACAAAGTATTACCTTCAGCAGGATTCATGACACCATCATGGAGTAATGTGGCCATGCTCCCAGCTATTCCTGCAGAAAGAGAAACAAGACAGTCCCTATTCACAAAATAATCCTTAAAGGTAAAGGTAAAGGTTCCCCTTGACAATTTTTGTCCAGTCGTGTCCGACTCTAGGGGGCGGTGCTCATCCCGCTCTTCAAGCCATAGAGCCAGCGTTTGTCCGAAGACAATCTTTCCGTGGTCACATGGCCAGTGTGATTTAGACACGGAACGCTGTTTACCTTCCCACCGAGATGGTACCTATTTATCTACTCGCATTTGCATGCTTAGGTGGCCCTTAATGAATTTGAAGCCTCTCTTAGTGCACAACACATCTGTTTGCTTATTAATTGCAATGTTATCATGGTTCACAACTGACAGTTGGGTTATTAGTATACAACCATTCATCTTTTTTCTTTTTCTTTTTTTGCAAAAGGAAGCAAAGAATCCTTCATAACAGGGAATGCAAAATGCCCCAGCTTCAGTTCCTGGCACTCAGCAGAAACTACATAAGCTCTAGGAATCTTCATCATCTTTTGAAGTTCCTGCCATCATTGGGGGGGGGCAGTCTCAAGCATACAAATGATGCCAACCAAATCTAGTTTTTAACTAGTCAAACCCCTAGAACAAGCTGGTATTTCCCTTCAACGGTCTCTGTTTTGAGTAATATTATTTCAGAAACGACCATGAAGATGTATAAACGCAATGTACAAACTATAGGAGATCTACCCCATTTATTAATAATTTCTAAAATTAAGGAACATTTCAGAGGCGTATTTTTTCAAAACACAAAGTGTTGAGTTCACGTTTTGAAAGTTTCCACTCTAGAACATTTAACCCGATACATGAAATCCACTGAAGTGCAAAGTTGCTCAAATTACACTTCTCCTTTCAACAAGTCAGAGGTTAGAGGCACCAGACTCCTGTGTAGTTCAAAAATCCATGCAGAATTCTTATGTCCCGACAAATGTAAATAAAGCCTCTATCAGAGTGGGAAGATGGAGACACAATCTCTCCTCCTCTCCCCCCCCCCCGAAACAAAGCAGCACACCACTCTGACCTCCCCCAACCAATATCCTCCTCCAGGCATGTCTCAGCCACCCTCCCTGGCCACCACACAGCGCCACCATGCAGGCGAAGGGGTCGGATGGACTGCTGCCATCAGGCTAGTGGCTGACGCACCAACAATGACAGGGGCCTCAGTAAGTCTGACCTTTCTCAGGTCACTTCCTAGAGATGGATAGTAGCACAGTATTTATTGAATATTTATTTATTGAAAACAATCTGCGTATAACCAAGCCCATGCTGCTCGGGACCTGTGCAATTCAAGGAAGAAGTGTCATTTTTGCATTACGGACATTTAGACTTGAAGATTATAACAGAAATCACTAGACTTGTGGCAAAGAATGTGAGTATCAGTACAGATGGATCACCAAACTCCAACTTCACTAGACTTGTGGCAAAGAATGTGAGTATCTTTGGTACAGATGGATCACCAAACTCCTACTTTGGCACTTCAGATATTTTGGACTACAACTTCCCTAACCTTTTCCCACTGGTCATGTTCGATACAATTTCTAGAAGTTGAAATGCGAAACCATGAGAGAGCCAAAGGTTACTCTCCCCTGCTTCAAACAGAACCTCCAGCTACAGAGGCTGTGTGCCTCTAAATGCTAGACTCTAGAGAGAAAAGGTTGTAAATGTCTAAAAACACCTGGCTTACTTTTTTGGGGGGGAATGACCCTGCTGGTCTAGATGGACCATGAATAGATCCAGCCAAATAATACTTACATTTGCAGGATAACAGCCAATTGGATAAGACTTACTGGGCAGAATTTAGTTTTTGGAAGCTAAACCCCTGGATCTTAGAACTAAATATTCTAGAACTGCCCTGACTCGCCTGACAAGATGTTCCAGGCATCTGTTCTCAATGCTACCCCTTGGAGACGCTTATGCTCAAACTTAGAAGACCTAACACTCAGAGCATCTAGAATACTACGCATCTTCAGCCTTCTTGAGATGTGCCGGAAGACACCAGCGGAAAACAGACAATGAGTTGAACGTAGGCAAGAGAGTTTAGGTGGCAAAGTGAGGCATCTTCCCAGCGTCTTTCTGTCCAGAAGCAGAAAAGGCGGGCTGACAATGTCAGGATTGTGAAAGAAAGAGAGAGAGAGAGAATGTGCATTGCTTGAGCTGAGGGGAGCACCCAGGGCAGCTATGTCTATATACCGTTGGCCAGATGGCTGTTGCCTCTGTGGTGAATAATGTCACTTAAAGTGCGTTTCATCTTCTCGTAGCAGGCAAAGTACAAAGCGTGAGCCGGGCCGGCTCCAACCACAGTCACGTTGATTCCACGTAAAGGCCGCCAGACACCTTCCGTTTGGACAATCGTCCTCAGGGCCTCGAACGCGCCCGAGTACCGGGCTTTGGGATCAGGCTGTAAGCTCTGCATCCGGGTCTGAAACAGAAGAGAGAAGAAAATGTGAGGTGGAGACCAAGACGGACCCCCTCCCCAAACCTTCAAAGCAACCGTCCCTAAATTCAAGAGTTTGGAAAAGCCACAAGTCACATGATGCTCCAGCTAGCCATCAGGCATGTTGGCTGTGTCTGAAGGGAGCTGAAGATCGATCGGTCATTCATTCATTCATTCATTCATTCATTCATTCATTCATTCATTCATTCACTTTCTATACCACCCATCTAGTGGCAAGCCACTATTCCGGTCAATTTCCAACACAGAACATACACATCAAAATAAAAGCAACCATCGCCCCACCCAATCGACAATAATGTACAACAGAACTCCACTAAGCACCCAAGATGGCGACAACAGACCCAAAACCACAATCAACAATGTAAATAACAACACTTATAAGGGGAGGGTGTCCTGAAATACCTCTCTGACAAGCACATGATTTTATGTGCTTTCTAAATCTTAGGAGAGAAGTGAAATCTTCCCTTAGAAGGGAAGATTCTACTACTCAGCCACCACTGAGAAGGACCAGTTTCCAGTTGTGGGCTTCCTAGCCTCCCTTGGGGTGGACACCCACAGCATCAGAACCTGGGAGGTTTGTGTGTGGTACAAGTGGTTGATTTCAGGGAGAGGCACCCCCAACAGTCAGCAAGGTCCCAGAAAAGTTCAAAAAGTCAGGAGGATGCCAGCTTAGAAAAAGTTGGCAGTCCGTTTTTGCTGCCCTAATCTCCATCACTATCATACTTGCCAAGCTGATTCTCACGTAAGTGACCCTCTTCCAGGGTTTCCTAGGTAGAGAAGAGTACTCAGAAGAGTTTTCCCATTCCCTTCTTCTGGGGACATGCTGGGACCATACAGCCAGACCAAGGCAACATAGGCTGGTTCTTCTACAACAACCAGGGGACTAGTGAACTTCTGGTCTCTGGCTCTGTAGCCAGATAGCCAACTCATTGAGCTATCCAGCCAGCTCTCTCCTGCCCTACTAACTGGTAATGGTGGAAACTGATCTCCCCAAGACTTTTTGACATAAAACAGGTGCTCTACCGCTGAACTACCCCAATACAAAGGTTATCCATACGCAGTCAGATTATTGTTCCATCAAGAGCAGTGGCTCCCGACCTTGGGTCCCCAGATGTTCTTGGACCACAAATCCCAGAAATCCTGGCCAACACAGCTAGTGGTGAAGAGCTTCTGGGAGTTTCAGTCCAAGAACGGCCAGAGACCCAAGATCTAGATTAAGGCTGGACAATTTATGATCTTCCAGATGTTACTGGACTGAAAATTCCATCAAGCAGTGTCAATGGTGAAGTATGCTGGGAGTTTGGCCCAACAATCTCCAAAGGACAGCATGTTGCTGAACCCTAATCCAGCCCCTACAATGATTCTCAGAAAACCCTACCACTTGGGGAAAAACCCTTCGGGATGAAAGTCACCTGCTGCAACTGGCTGACATGCCTCTCAAATTCAAACCTGGCATCTCCAGTTAGACGGAGCCCCAGACAGGAATGTAGGAGACTGTGGCTCCACTGGGTTTCAGGCAGGATTTTTTCCTGGTCCTACCAGGAGATGCTGGAGCCCTGCTCTACCATTGTGGCATACCTCTTTCCAACACAGCACTTGATCATCCCTCATGGTCTTCCATCCAAGTACTACCCAAGCTGCTTAACTTACAAAATCAGACAGAAATCTTGGGTTCAGGGCAGTGTGTAAGAAGCTCCATGATGACTTGTCCTCAGAGATTTATCACTATCCAGAACAATAAGAAGCTTATTAAAACAAGAAGCTTTAGGCACATCCTTCAATAGCACACCAGCAGGGGGTGCTACAAAGCAGCTTGTTACTAGAGGATGTTTTTCTCCTTTAAAAAAATCCACTAGAAACTGGATTCTTGGGCTGTCATAACACTATGATGACTATTTACAAAATTCCTTGTTTTCACTCATCTTTGAGTCTTTCCAAAATGAGACTCCTTCCCATGAAAACAAAACCAAATCTCATTTTCTTTCTTCTTTAGCAATTTAACGATTGATTGACTGGTTGATCAATCTTCCTTTTTTGGCCATTGTTTTGGAGAACGTCATGCCTCTTCTGGTGTATCCTGTTCAGGAACTGCAGCAATTCTGTGCCATGTGTATTTCCTTACCCTTTCCAAGTGAGTCCTACATAGGAAAAATGCCATTCTGTGCAGGATCTTAAAAATCCTGCACAGTGGTGAATTTCTTCTAATCTTTCCAGGTGAACTCTGTGCAAGAATTGAAGTAATCCTGCACAGCTTGGTATTTTTTTTTCCATTTAGAAAATGACCACAAAACTTCCAAGATATCGTGTGAGCTTTCTCAGTGGCAAAAACCATCTCATGTGGGTTTTTTTAAAAGCACAATTTTTCACTCTCAGCTTCCTTTCCAAGAAGGAGGATATGACTCACATCCTTATTCCCAACTAGGTGAGATGCTACAAACGAGAATTTCAGTGTTTACTGGCTTTTAATCATTTGGTTGTATTTTAATTTATGTATAGTTTAATTGTTTTCTAATCAGAGAATCATAGAACAGTGGGAAGGGGCCTATAAGGCCATCAAATACAATCCCCTGCGGGAATCCAAATCAAAGCAGATCGGACAGAGGGTTCTCCAATTTCCTCTTGAATGCCTCCAGCGCTGGAGGGTGCACCACTTCCTGAGGTAATTGGTTCCATTATCATACTGCTCTTACAGTTACATTTTCCTGATATTCAGCCTAGGTATCTTCCTGTAGCTTGAGCCTATTATTAATGTTTAATTTGTTGTGTTTTTAATCCTGTTCTTTTAATACTGTAAGCCGTCTTGGGTTCCTTTGTCAGGAGTGAAGGGGTCTATAAATAAAACAAACAAACAAATAAATGAACTGTATACACCATATCTCCACAACGTGCAACCACTACAAACAAGCACAGAATATTATATATATATGTGTTTGACAGAGCAGTTGCTAGTATCTCCAGAGCTACCTTTTCAAACAAACACATGCCTATTTAAGATTTAAGATTGCTCAAGTCCGGTTTGGACGGAGGAGCAAATGAAGACCTGTGTTTCACGCAGCAACAAGAAAGAAATTCCGAGGGCTAGGCAAGGACCTACAGAGTAATACATTTCTGAGTCTGTATAGCAGACTCAGAGTCTGTATAGCATTTCTGAGTCTGTTGTCTTTTCTTTTTCTTTTTTTACATAATGGTGAAATTATGGTTTTTTCCAACAAAAAAATTACTCACTGACTAACTGAAATCAGCCTCATGTGCAGCAGTGAAGCATTGTAGGAAAACGCAAAAACGTTTTTTAAAAAACCCACAATACAAAAATGTAGTAGCACTTTAATGACTAACTTTTCTTTTTATTTTTTTTTTAATGTGAGCTTTTGTGGAGAAGTCCCACTTCGGCAGACAAAGATGAGATGTGAAGTAGCCCATCAAATGCCATCACAAAAGGAAAGTAGGAAACGGAGAAATTAGAGACCTATCTTCTATCCAGGGAGATTGGTAGAAAGGTAGAATTATTAAAAAAAAAAAAAAGGACAAGCTGTTCTGAGGATAAATTAGTACCAGCTTTGAAAAACTCAATCACCAACTTTATATAATCTCAATATATCTACAATGTGTGTGTGTGTGTAGATAGATAGATAGATAGATAGATAGATAGATAGATAGATAGATAGATAGATAGATAGATAGATAGATAGATAGACAGACAGACAGACAGACAGACAGACAGACAGACAGACAGATACATATACATATACATATACATATACATATACATATATAAATGGGTAGATTATACACCATGGGGACAGATGGTACACTGTCCATCAGTATAATACAATTGTACCTGGTCTTCTATTTGTTAATCAACCTTAAAGCAATATTGTGGGCTATATAACTTAAGTTATTTAATGTAGATTTAATATTGTACAGAAAGAGTAGGCAAAAAATATATTGCTCTCTCTCTCTCTTTCATGGTATTAGAACCTCTGGTTTGCAAAGTTAGGATTTCCACTACAACATCCAGAATGCCCAGCGAGCTAGCCAGGGCATTCTGAGAGCTGAATTCCAAGAAGTGACCTTTCCCATGTAGCTCTCCTAGCTCAAGCGTAAGCAGGAGGTAGATTGGGTCCTCCTGCCAGATCTCCAGGTGATTTGCAGCAGTTCTCACTGGTTGGGGTGGAAAAAAAATGTCTGCCAGTTGAAATTGGATTTGCCCCGACCACCTAATGTTAACCTGAGTAATTACTGTATTTCTGTGCAAACACTCATTAACTACACTTCCCTGCTCATTACACACCTACCCTGAAAGCAAACATCTTTGGAAGTTTCCACTCTCCAATCTTAGAAGCATTGCTAAAACTCCAACATCAGCTCTCAGAACCCTAACCCTATAGGATACCCAGAGAGAGAGAGAGAGAGAGAGAGATTCGTGGACTAGCAATCTCAGACATCACAGGCAGCACTGCTATTAGTGAAGGATTCTGGGAGTTTTAGTCCAAGAATATCTGGGGACCCAAGGTGTGAACCATTGAGTTGGGGGTGGGAACATCTGGCCCTCCAGTTATTGCTGGACTGCAACTCCCATCCTCCTTCCCCATCAGCTGTCGTGATTGGGGTTGATAGGAGGTGCAGTCCACGAACATCTGATAGACCACATGTTTCCCATCGCTGCATTAGATAACGCTTCCTTACAGCTACCTGAACTGCTTCTATTGGTTCAGGCTTGGGCTGTTTAACCAGCCATGAAATCCAAGCAGGTGCCCCAAGCGAGTCTACTCAGGCCCAAGGTGCCTCTCCTTTGAAGAAGAGCACGTCAGATTACAAAACGGTCTTGGAGCAGGGCACCCAGCTGTCCAATCTCGGCACCCAGCCTAAGTCAAAGGTGCTCTTCTGTCTGACACTCTTGATGCTTCACTAAATGAAATAGCAAGGTGTAAATCCAGGGTTTCATGCACAGCAAATCCCATTGCAA